TATTTTTATGTATATTAGTTGGAAACTGCGAGTTCCGAGGAAAATGTGCCGTACCGTCCTTCTTTCTCCTTAGTTTTATCGAATCTAATTGGTGGATACCGGTTTGTGAATAGAAGTATGCTTCAGATTTGTCTTTTTTGAAAGTTATACGAAAGAACTAGTTGAAAGCAGCGTGTTTTCTAGGCGATATACGCTCATAATATTAGGGAGGGGGACATTCATGTGACTGAGGCAGTTACAGTACGTGGGACTAGGCCTCAGGTTAGAGAAGGGACTCTGGGGTAGGATGTGAGCAATTTTTGCTTTTACTGGTGTTTTCCTCTCCTCCTGGGCCTAGTACCAGTGCCTTGTCGCGGTTTTCGAAAGCTTGTTTCGAATGTACCCTCCCCCTCCCAAGGCTAGACCGCCAGCGATGCACTCTCTGGTATGAATTGTCTTGAGATGAACTCGCTAAAATCATCGCGGAGAGCTTTTCCGATGCCTGTGTAATAACGTCTTTTAGTACTTTTCGCAAAATTCCAGTTTTTCCTTGTTATTGTAAAATAGAATAGTTCGCTAGTGTGCTTGTTCAGACACAAATGTACCTGAGTTTAACTGGACGTTTGTGCAAATATTTGACTCGACATTAGACATTAATTCTGTTTGTTATCGTGAGAACATCACGGGATGTTCTCGTCATTCAGTCTGGTGATTCAGCTGCTTCTGTCGTTTCTAGATGAAATTACTCTGATTTGATGGAACCGTCTAATATGCTATGCTCTCACTCCGTTCTATGCTATTTTCTGTACCTAGAGCCTCCCACATTCCACACTAGTAATTTTACTTGTTTCGGGTGAAAAGTGGTGTTGGGTAAGCGCTTATGGTGTTTTGAAGGTCCGCTAATAAATCGGAGGGGGAGGGGGCGTTTCAGGCCAGTAGATCGTCTCGGCAACAGTAGTCCCATTTTTGCACTGCATATGCCATAGAACTAACGATGAAAGAATTGGGAAATAAAGGTACTCTGCCCCAGATTGCCCACCCCCTTCCAACTATACTCGAGCTCACCCTTTTCCTCATTTTTGTGAATTTCGGAACGAAACATTCTTGATGATTCTCCTCCTTAACCCTCGTTTTTTGGAGCTGTCCTGGTATCTCAGCAGGCATGATTTTGAGCGGTATAACTAGAAAAAAATTTGGAAGGTGGAGTTTGGAAAGTATCCATCATTTTTCAGTAGTTTAGTCTGGAATGTGCTGGCTTGACTAACAGTGAACACACTTTTTATGCTTGAAGCGCATTGCCCACCGGTTCAATTGAATTTAATTTGGTTCATATGAAAATGTGGATGTGATAATAGTGGCGAAAAAACATGCGTAGTAATAAAATCGTGCACTTCTGTAAGTTGTTGTGTGTGCGAAAAATCTGCCATAAAGCTTTTTCACTTGAGGCAGTTTTATTAGATTCCTTTCGTTCCACATCGCATCGCTTTGGCACTTGCTTGCTGTGTGACCTAGTTGGCGAGAGTGTGAAAGAGGAGTGGAGGTGACTCCACCTGTGAAGAGTGTCCAGTTGGGAGCTTAGTTAGGGTCGAGCATAAGCGATTTTTTGGTAGAACTTCCTCTTCTTTATATCAACCACTGCCCTACTCTCTCGTAATAACTTCGTATAGTGGCTCTCTTCCCCCCTATGCTCGCAGTAGTTCAATCAATTTGGTGTGACATGATGCATGTCGAGGATGAAATGTCGAATATGGAAAAGTTCCTTAGAAAATTTCATTTTACTTACTTCCAATATACTCTTCGGAAGTACAAGTGCCTCGCCGGAAAAGCCATTCCCCCCCCGTTTTTGGTGATTATGTGCTCGGTGGATCTTGAGGCGAGTTTGATCCCTCGTTTTATCCGCTCTATTCCTTTATTTCTCAAGTGTCAGGGGAGGGCACTTCATGAGTGGACTTTACTTTGAGCAATGTCCATTGAGAGGGTTTCCAGCCTCTTCTAGGTTTATATGCAGCCAAGCGTCTTTGAAGTAATGTGTGGCTTGCCAAGTTTCTGATCGTATTCTATAACATTTCTTTGCGAGATTTTGAAATGCGTACCTGCATATTGGTAAATATATAGCACTGATCATGGGTTCGATTTCGCTCCAGGCAATTTCCTATAGATTTCTGAAGGGTTGCTTGCTGCCTTTGCAAGTCCTTAGCTCGAGTAAATGTTTTTAATCCGCATTTCCTATTCTTCATAAATGGATTAATATAGCCATTCCCTGCGTAGGCACAGTGAATTCTTGCCATTTTCTGGTCACGTCGTAACAATCCGTCTGTCTAAACTTTTTAGAAGTTTTTGGGAACTCACACAGCAAATGAATTGTTGGGTAGGTTCCCATCGCTCTATAGTGGTTCCAGCCACATGTTGCTCCCACATAATTCCGTAAGCAGATTTTGTTTCGGCACTAAGCGCATTCTCGATGAGGGTACTGCGACACATTGCCATTTGTTCATGCGAGACAGTGAGAAGAACCGGTTAGTCGTGGGAGTAGTCATCACCACCGATGATTTAGAGCTCTTAACAGCCATTTCCTTGCCTGCGATGACGTCACTCGTGTTATCATAACTTTGAAGACGTTATAGTGTTTACACATTCAATAGGCTGTATCAGTTCGCCCGGCAGGGGTGGGAGTGTCGCCTCTCTGTTGGTCGTACGATCTCTCATCATGTCTTTGTCCCAATTCGAATGACGTATGAACTGCCAGTCTAAACAGACAGACACACATACAACCAGGACATGGAAATTGTCATTCGTTTCGAAAATTATTGATTGTCTCGCTTTACTTGATTTCGAAACTGCTCGATGACGCAATCTTAACACAACTGCTGGCACACGGCGACGCCTCAACGCGCTCATTTCCAGGTAGTGTAGTCCTCAAGAAGAGAGAAGCTTTCGATGGTGTCTACGTGCTCACCTACACCTCATTCGACACCCGGGGACCCGCTCGGCATCAATTTCGACATTATGAACAAGGTAGGGTGTTTGTGATCCTAGCTGAGTGAATGTTATTTGTGAACTGCGGCGTTCTCCATTGTCCTCCTTCGATTGGCTTACCGACTTTTCAACAAGTGTCTCAAATTTCACTTTTTTTTCAAGATGTCTGCGTCGCCACTCAGTTCTCACGAAAACGATAATATGGCGAATATGCTTCGCTCACAATCACCAGGTCTCGAATTGTCGATTGGTGAGATCACAGTCGCGTCGGCTGTCGCCAGTGAGAAGGCTCGAATGCGCCAACAGTCAGCCATGCTCGATAAAGTGCGTTAATTTGTTAAGTTGGCTGCTCAATTACTTCAAAAACGGTCTCCACTTCAGTGGTTGATGGCCAATGGGGGAAACCTTTACCCGTGTCGTGAAGACAAAGAAAAATTGGCTGCACAAATGAAGATGACCTACTTGCAAGTAAGTGGAAGAGTGTGATGTTATTCCTACTTTTTTCTGTTCATTTTTTGCTATATATGATTTCCATTTTCTTATTTTTTCTTTGTCATGCGCTTATATGTAGAAATAGCAACCGTTTAAAACTCATCTGAGATTCTGAGGCGAAGCTACTCTTCATCAGTGGCCGCAATCTGCGTTTTATTTGGGGTGGTTCACCTTTTGCTCGCCTATTCTCGTTCAGTTGTTCTCATTTTAAGGCGTTTTGAAGGTGTTGAGTGAGACATTTTTCGGCGATGCATCTACATTCTCTCTCAATTTGGGCTTTTGTTAGCTGAATCACGAAGAATATAGTGAGCAGGAATGCGTCGCACGTAGTACAGTTGCATCGCGGAGGATTTGCAAGCTGCGCTTTGTCGTAATGTTATACGCGACGTTTTTGTACAATCGTTCTGTGAATACACCACTTTACAACACTTTAGCATTGAACATTACGTTTCACCGAACGTTTGTTTTTCTTTTGCAAGCTTTTCGTTTGTGGTCTGTACCGTAATCGAGAGGGACCTTGCTTGTATCCTTTGTTCCTTGTGTTAAACACAATTATTCAATGCTGTGTAGGTTTGTTCGATATCACTGCGAGACCGTAAGAACCGTCTTTAACGTTTATTTTCAAAAGGTTCCGCTAAAGGTCCCACTAAAAGAACGGAGTTCATTTCTAACAGATAAGGAAATCAGCTATTGCAAATGTCGGGAGCTCTGATTAAGAATTCCGAAGGCGAATTTACGAGTTGTCAGAGAAATTTCCATATTGTGCATTTTGAGGGTAATTTCTTGATGAAAACAGCGCTTCTTTGTCCTTATTCCTTTCTTCAACGCATGGGTGTTCCAGTCGTCGCCTGGATACTTGCCTTCCTTGCCCTTCGAGTCAGGTTTCACATTCTGTTGAAAATAAATATCTTTCCTACTTTCAACACCTTCTGCTTCTACATGAAACTACTATGCAAAAAATCTGTCTTACGGTATGGAAGCTTGAGCGCCAATATAAGTTATTGGCATAATTATCACAGTATACTACCTGAAGACTGGTGCACGGCTGGCTCATTGTGTAAGTAGTTCGTGTCCCGAATGATCCAGACTCATTTTTCCATCCAGGCTACGTTTTACGGGGTTCTATGCTGTGATTGTTGCATTGGAGAAGCAGACAGATATCCATTTTCAGCAATTTTGGTGCTCAGGGCTGCGTAGTCCCTGAGATTTTCCCAGTGTACAATAGATGCGGCGGGCGCCGCGTCCTTCACATATGCACATAAAAACTTTCGTCGCTCTCCCTCGCGAGGGTTTTTAATCCGTGCGCGCGCTCATCGCGTAGACTATCGACGAATGACCTGACAGTTTTGTGGAGGAACGATATGTGGAAACTCATCCGTAAAAGAATCAATCGCAAAATAGTATTGAAGGGGATCTTCTCAGAGGGTGGCGGAGGATGTAAACTTTTCTCTGAAAACTATAGGCTAATTGTAAGTTGTATTGGTATGAATTTGACTTTTTCATCTGCTACTTTGAAGGAAAATCAATAACATAAAAAATGTGCAGAGTCGAGATGCTAAGCAGATGGGTTTCAGCCGTAGAATTTTCTAATCGATGCGATAGTCCTGAAAATGGTAGATGGGAAAGTAAGTCGAGAACGCTATTTACTGTGCTACCGAGGCGACCTTTATGGATGTTTTTTTGCAAAATACACTCTTGTCATCGTTCAGCTTTTGGTTTTGCGATAGTGCAACAATCAAAATCTTTAACAAAGTAGAAAGCCAATCAAAGTTTCGTTAACACCACCCAAGTTTCACCGTTGGTTAGTGTCCTTCGGCGTTTGTAGTTTCATCTTCAGGAACGTTTCGGTGTTCATCGCGTGGTAATCGTAGTTCCCTTCCAAGACCTGTTTGGTGGTTCTTATTGTCAAATCCGCTTCAGTGTCACTTTTTTAGTAAATTGTTGACATATATGTCGAAGTTCTGAGGTAAGCTTTGGATGTGGGACGACTCAGTGAGAGTCGGAGACCAGACAAAGGTCGTCAATCAAAATGCTGGCCAGATGGTGTCGTCGTCGTCGACGACGACAGAATAGCGCATCATTACGCGCGTGCACCTGGTTGGCTGTAGACAGAGACCGCAAACAGACAAAAGACAAGTGCAACTCATCAATTTAGTACTGGTTCTAAGTTAATAACTAGACAGGCTAAAGAAATATGGAAACAGCGATGGCAATAGGTATCTGATGCTTCGCAAACAGTGTTCGAGTGTTAAAATATTAATTTTTTGGACGGGAAAGTTCTGACCATTGTTCAGGTTTTTTTATCGGAGAGATTTCCTTTACTCTTGCATCTTTTCGAAAGCATGGCCATGTGCGAACAAACTCGGGACAGGGTCTTAATACTATTCGTTCTTACTGCTTGCGGCAATGAGACGTCACTGCTATTCACGAGTGTTGGTTCTTTCTCTTGCAGTCGTTCTATAGGAAAACTTGCTCCAAAACGCCAAACAGATTTTTTCTTTTGTTAATTTTTTTTTTTTTGGTGCTAGCATAGTTTGTGAGCATCTTTTTTTTATGTTGTTAGTCATCATGGATGCTGTGCCTTTAAATCTTAGATGTTATGAATTTTGTCGAAATTCCTGCACTTGTTTTCTCCTGACGCGTACCTATTGGATTAGTCTTCTTAGGCACTTCAGTTCGAGTGATCTGGTAGGCGTAAAGAAATGTAGTATTCTGTCGTTACGATTTATTGACGGTTTTGTAATAGAGAAACCATTTTTATTGGAATTGGGCACCAGACGATGCGGGAGACAAATTTTCATGGGTAAAATATAGAGCGGGGTTACATCTATTTTTGATTTGTCTCTGCTGGTTATTTCACAGTGTCCGTCTGAGATTTTACATAATTTGTCACATTCGGTATTCCACAATGTGTAATTTTCGCTCAGCCATTAATCCTCGAAAGCGCCTATTTCCACGTTGCTGGATGCAGTTACCCCTGAAACAATGTCGTGGGTAAAAAGAGTGGAGTGAATGCGTATTAGGCCCGATAAAAGGTCTTCTCTTTTATCATATTTGTAATCACAGTAATTTGAAGATGTCCCTCCTGGAGTAACCACTCGTATTTTTTCCCCAATGCTACTCGGCTGCGCCTTCAATTGCACCGGCCATCCAGCTGGGGAACCCGTTTGCTTAAGTGCATAACAGGTGCAGTTGCACCCTGCAAAACGCGAGTTGACTAAAATATTTGTGCGAAAGAGGTGAACCGAGGGAACATCGGATTGGCTTCGTTCCGACAAAATATTATACACTATATTACAAGTTTTCTACTCTTATAGTTGTTTGACGATTTTTAAAGAATTCTCCATGTTGATAGTTACATATTATGTGTAGTTTTATGTTCTTCTTTGCATTTGTTGTAGTTATGGTATCTTTGTATATCCTGTTCTCTCACAACTCTCATTTTAGGTGAACCGTTGGTTCGCGAATCGGCGAAGGAAGCAAACTAAGCGGACAAAGGCAAGTGGAAGTTTTTGCTTTTTTTTGGACTGGGAATTCGTTCTTTTTTTCTTAGGAGGATTTTTCTTTAGTAGATATCTGTATGGAGATATCGTTCCTTATTCTGACCCTCTCCAAGTGCAGGGAATATAATCGGAAAAAGTTTAGGCCGTTTCATTCACCAGCTTAGCTTACAACCTCGAACCAGAAAGACATCACGGCTAACACGCCGACATCGAAGGAGAAATGTGTGAGCAACTCACGAGATATGATTCGGCATTTGCGCAAGGATGTTAAGTTGGTTCTGATAGCTTTTGCTCGTCTCGTTGGGTACTTCGCATTGTATTGCTTCGTACAAAGATTTCCGTGTTTATACTCAATTCTATCCGTGATAGTAGTCGTGAATCGATAAGCTTGCCGTGGTGATGCGTCATGCGTCATGTCGTTGTGAGAATTGTTCCTGTCTGTTTTCCCATATTCCTGTTCCGGGGAAGTCGACTGCCTTCAGTCGCCATCGCTTTTTGCTTTTCAATCCTCTTAAAGACACACACCCTGTCTTTAGGGGGCTAAAGAAGTTTGTTCTATGCGATCTTTTACGATCCCGTCTCCTGCTCAGTCTCTAGTTGTCTTTCAACCAATGGTTTTCTGCCTTATTTCCTCCCCTCCCTTTTTGTCGATTGTATTAGTAACTGGTTCTGTCCACCCTCTTGTGACTTATATAAAGGGCGCCGGCGCTGAAAGAAGTTTTGGGAACTTCGGTTTTCCTTAGAAGTAATTCCTCTCTGATGCAGTGTTGTTGCCATGTTTTATGTTTTATACTACTTCTTCATGCATCCTTTTGAGCTCCTTTTTGATTAACACAGACCGTAGTATTTTTTATGTGTGTATAACTGGTTGGAAAGCTAAAAGCTTTTTTTCTTTTGGTGAGAAGGGGAACGCGGAAAAAGTCAGGACGTAGACGCATTGGGATACGGGTGTGAGGAAATGCCATGGCGACTTTTTTTCTCAGAGGAAGGTTGCTAAGGAGCTGTTTACAGCGGCGCTGTCGTGTGCTTGAGAATAATTCAATTTGCAACACCCCGTGGCAAGATCTCCAAGGGAATACTTCTATGAGTCCGTCTAAGGAGTTGGGAAATATAAACGGGCTTGTCATTTTGGGGCTTTTTCAAAAGCTCTCTTACTGACATGAACAGATAAAGAGGGTGGTTCTTTGCTGATATTGAGATAGGTGGTAAAACATTTTTTCCATTTTAGGCTGGTCGCATTTTGTCGCCTCACTAGATAGTATCGCCCGATTTTAACTATGTTATTTTTTCTGTCTCATTAATTTTTACGTAAGTTCCTTGCGTATATCGGCTGCATTTCCGAGAACATTAGTCTTGAAACTTCAATCAGTATGGATGGCTGTGTAGGTAATGTGGGATGGTGGAGGTGACGTGATTAACCAGTAATTCAGATGCTCAATTATAACGTTTTGGCGTATTGGTTATAAAATGATGACTTTCCCAACCCTCTCA